TCTTACTCTTTTAGTAAGTTAAATGGGCTTGAACTTGATAAATTAGTGGTAAATGTTATACAAGCTCTTGTGTAAGGGTAATGAGTATACATTTAATTGTATGCTGACAAGTCTACAATCTCTCTTAACTTTATTTATTTTCATACGATTTATTTGATTTTCTATAATTGTATATTTATTATCACTAATGAATTAGCTAATATAGCTTGTGAAATTGTGCTTAAATTTTTATAATGTGCTTAATACACAAGAAACTCTTTCACTTACTGGCTCAAACTATAAAATAAATATGTGTGAATTCTTTTGTAGTATTATTCTATTAATTAAAAATATGTGGTTTGTAATTTACTTGAGCCAAACATTATTTGAACTAATGTGGCATATGGCTAACCATTTTAAATGGGGCTAAATGTAGCATATAACCATTCCAATGATGCCTACGAAGAATAAATAAGCTTTAACAAGATTTAATTTGATGTAAAATTAGGGATAATGGTAATAAGGGAGTCGATCAAAACAAGGAAGCTCTTGACTTAGAAATCTCCAGCTCTAACTTTAGGGTTTTAGTGTGAAAATGTTATTGAAACTTAAAGTTTGAAACTATGATGGTTCTTATATTTTGTGAAGTAATTTTTATGTTACTTTATTTATTTATTTTTATTTTTTTTGTAAGAATAGGTCACTAAAATTTTTCTCTGCCTAACAACACCAAACTGAAAATTAACTCTTAGAAAATATATTCAGACATATGAAATAAGCCTATGACTTTAAGAATTTATTATTGATTATTTCTACTTGTGATTTGAAAATTTCCCTCAAGTTCAATAAGCTTAAACCCACCTTTTGATTGTTATAATGATAATAGGTCTTAAAGAAAGTAACCTTAAGCCAACTATTTAAACTTGTTTTCAATAGATCTTAGTGGACTGAAAATACATAAAAAAATTACTAATTATAGTGAAAAGTATAAAAGAAGGCTATAATAAGAAACACTAGGAATTTTTTACAGTGATTTAAGTTAATCAATCATTAAAATAGCTAGTTGGAAGAGATCAAATCTCTTTCTATGGTGAGGCCAACCATTACACCAATATCCTTGAGTTTTTTTTTTTTCACTCAAAATAGTATATTTAAATCTCATTTTCATACTATCTATCAAACATAAAGGTTTTATAGTAATATACTTCAAAAATGACCCAAGAGATTGCAAAGGAGGGGGATGAGCAAGTGTATGGATGAGATAAATGGGATGTTTATAAATATACAACATCCATCTAAAAGAGTTATGGCCTAAAGCACTTAAGTATAAAAAAGATTAATTTGTAATATCATTATCAATTTTTTTTTTCTATGAATTTTAAATAAATTTTATATATATATTAAAAAACTCAAAATTTCAAATCGAAAATTTATGAATTTCAGATATTCAAACTTTAAAAAATTAAAT